TGCAGAGCCTCCCAACCCTCCAGCAGACCACCAGGTCCCCACTTACCATCTGCTTTGCAACCCCCCTGAACAGGGACCACCCCCAGAACGTGGCTTTGTCTGACCAACCCCCTACAGCGGGGAGGTCCACCTCACCACCAGCTACTTTCCCACCCCCCTACCTCCACTCCCTTTAACCCCCCACGCCCCCCTGGGCATTCCCAGCTGACCCAGGCTGCTGAAGGACCCCCCCTGAGCCTGTTCCAAGGGCTGGGAGCTGAGGAACCCAACTCACTTGAGCAGGTAGGCGGCGGCGATGTGCAGCAGGTAGAGCGCGATGCACCGCAGCTGCCGGGGGACCTCCTCCTGCCAGGGACAGAAAAGCCACGTCCACCTCTGCTCCCCCCTCACCCACCCACTCCCCCGAGCTTGGCTTTCCCCAAAACCAGCGGGGAAACCACCCCAGCCACCCCCAAACTTGAGGGGGGGGGAAGCACCCGGCCGGCTCTCACCTTGCGGACTTTTTGGAAGTAGAGTTCTGGCAGGGCGTGCAGCCAGTAGGCCAGCTGGCACAGGTAGAAAAACTTCACCTGGAACCTGCAACACAGGTCATGGGGTCCTGCAACGGCTGGGGTGGGAAGGGACACTGAATGTCATCTAGTTCCCATCCCTCTGCCACCAGCAGGGACACCTCCCGCTAGAGCAGGTTGCTCCAAGCCCCGTCCAACGTGGTTCTGAACACATCCAGGGCAGCCTGGGCCAGGGTCTCACCACCCTCACAGTGAAGAACTTCTTCATTTCTGATCTAAATCTCCCCTCTTCCAGTTGGAAGCCATCACCTCTCACCCTATCACTACAAGCCCTTGTAAAACATCCCTCCCCAGCTTTCTTGTAGGTCCCCATCAGATACTGGAAGGCCATAAGGTGTCCCTGGAGCCTTCTCTTCTCCAGGCTGAACAACCCAACTCTCTCAGCCTGGCCTCATAGGAGAGGGGTTCCAGCCCTTGGATCACCTTCATGGCTCTCCTCTGGACCCACTCCAAGAGGTCCATGTCCTCTTTGTGTTTGGGCACAGGACTCCAGCTGGAGTCTCATGGGAGTGGAGTACACAGAAAGAACAGAATGCTTTGAGTTGGAAGGGACCTTTAAAGGCCATCTAGTCCAACCCCCCTGCACTGAGCAGGGACATCTGCAGCTAGGATGAGCTGTGTGAGCCACCCCAAGGACCTGGGCACCAGGGAAGTGGTCTGGCCACAGAGCACTGGGCCATCCCTCCACTGCTTTGAAGCCATGGGATTTAGGAGACACCACTTCTGGGCTGACATCACATGGGAGCAGAGCTGCCCACGCCTGGAGCTATCCAGATGCTCGTGCCATGGTCTCCACACCCTCAGCAAAGCTCCCTCTTGCAAAACCCCAAGAAGGGAGGATCAGCCCCCACAAAAAATGAACAGGAAAGTGACCTGTCCAAAGTGGTTCAGGCAGGAATCACAGAATGGTAAATTTTGGAAGGGATCTCTGGAGATCTAATCCAACCCCCTGCTCCAGCAGCTCACCCACAGCAGGGTGCCCAGGGGCACAGCCAGGAGGGTTTGGGATCTCTCCAGAGC